TCAAATAACCTAGCACAAATGTTTAACATAATGGGTTGGCGTGTCGCGCGCAAAAAATCTTCAACAGGACAAAAGTTAAGGTCTTACTACCGTCCGGATTACGTTTGTCCGGATCGTAACAATAATGAGTTGACGTGTTATGCGCAATAATCGTGTGACTTAGTAAAAGGTCAAGGTCATACCTTTATGTCATATGTGACAGCGGGTTCGACAAATTGCGCTTGTGCATTTAGTTATATAATAATAGTATGTTGAGGCCATAATCATGCTGTTTCACTTTGCTTCATTCACCCTTTTTCATATAAACTTACGACAGTTCACTCGTTATATTCTTAATTCATTTATTTACTCGTACATGTAAGTTTTGATCTCACGTGTATTAATTATATTTGATCGATTTCTAATATATAACTTCTTATCTTAAATGATATTCGGATCATGTTTATATTTACTATATGAACATGGTGTCAGTTATTGTTTTAAATATCAGGTCAGGATGCTCACTGACAATTGTATAGGATAGGATAAAATAATTAGATTAAATTAGGTTAAATTAAATAGATAGAGACAGACAGACTAACAGAAAAATAGACATTACCATATTATCAAAGTTAACATTAAAGTATCACAGATGAATAAAAAATTGATTCGCTGATGATCTGTGCAAATTAAGACATATCAAGTGACAATATTTCATTATTTGCATAATTGGTTAGGTAAAATCAAAATAACTTGCCATTTGCAAAATTTGTAAAGAAAACATAGAAAGTTGATATAATGTATCAGTTATGTTCTATAGGGCAGTCATTTAATAGTTCAGGTCATATTAATATTGTATCAAAAATACTTTTCTTTATCAATTATTGTTCAATTTTCAATTTTGAAAGGTATGATTAAGTCGACCCAACTTGACAGCAAAAAATGAGCATAATGCCACTTTATAAGACATATTCATCAATGTTTTACAACAGAGATCTATATAATTATACATATGCCGTTTTTTAAATATCTATATAATTTACTTTTTTCGTAAAAATCAACACAACACCTTAATACTAGTAATATGTTACAATTTCATATGATAATTGCATATGGTAGATTAAGTTGTTATTTATACGTAAAAATCCTATATATGCTATTTTATAATAGACTAAGCTCGCAGATATAAAATATAATGTGATGTTTTACAACATAAATCTATATAAACATACACTGTTTATTTTATAGGGTTAACGCACGTTTTTCCGTGTTATAACGTCTGCAGAGTCCCGAGGAACGGTTGGTGCCGAGCCCGGTAGGGCGAGGGCTCCAACAGTTCTGAGGGACTCTGCAGACTTTATAACACGAAATAAACGTGCGTTGACGCTATTATAGCATAAAATTTTAAAACAGATTCATGATGTATATTTCATACAAAACACAATTACATTAAATCCTTGTGCTTGGACGGTATTTATCCAATTCCACATATTTTACGTATGCGTTTTATTTTTCCGGGGCCAACAACTTGGGAAATTCTCAGAACCAAACGAAATTTTGAATTTTAATTGATTTAACAAAGCTTGACACTGGAGATTTATTATCTCAAGAAAAAAAACAACGTTACATTACTCAACCCTCTACCCAAGACAAAACATGACCCTCAGAAATTCTTAGAATGATTTCATATTGACGGTAGAAAAAAGATTAGTGACATCAGAATCAGTTTTTTTTTCAAGCACACAAGTTTATAAAAAAAATCAGGCACTAAACATTATTCTCTCAAAGAAATATAAAGAGCATTTATCAACAGAAACATCAATGAAACAACATTTTCTCATATTTATTTTGTGTTATCTTGTTTTGTAAGCTAATCGGGGGGTTAAACTGAATATTTGTTTACATTGACAACTGTCCGTTTCTTAGAAATGGCGACAACAAGATTAGCAGCGATGTCTAAACTATACGCCGTATTTCCGGCATAGTTACTTGAATGTTGCTCGCCGTATTTAATGCGATTTAGGCCCTCGAATCAATAATTTCAATGTAACAAGAGCGTATGACTCTTTGGCAAACAGGCCAAATCGTATTTTTAAAGGTTTGTTTACTGGGCCCTGTATGTATTGCGCATAGGTGAAACCGTGCTATAACAAGAGCGCGTGACTATGTTAACACATGGTTTTGGTCCCGTTATAACATGGGCAAAATAGGGAAAAATAGCCGATTTTATGCTATAATATATACTAGTATATAATAAACTATGTTTTTTTTCTTTGTTATTAAATGCGAAATATTCAATAATATACCAAGAACAAATTAACACCATACTATCAGTAATATGTTTCAATTTCAAGAATTCGTGTTTAAAATACACTTAATGAATGTAAAGTTACATGCTTATTGAAACGTATATACATGTTATTTTATAGCAGACTGGGCTGACACGATGGCTGAAGTAGACGGTCGTTCAACTATAACTGACATTGACATTGTTTGTACCCCTTGTTTTGAGGGTGATATTCGAGAGCAAGCTGTGAAATATTGTCCTGAATGTCTGGAGTTTTTGTGTACAGGATGCACTCAACACCATGGAAGACTGAGAATTAGCCGTTCCCATAAGCTTGTAGACAAGAACGAGGCAAAACAGAAGTCACATGTGACCGTGACAGCAAAATGTTTATATCACCCAGATCGTGACATAGAGATGTACTGTAAAGAGCATGATATGGTTTATTGTTTAAAGTGTATTGCTACAGACCATAGGTTTGTATTTATTTTAGATTCATTTCTCTTTGTTAAGTGTTTTTACAATTACTACTATGATTTATAATTAGTTTGAAAATAAATCAATATTTTGTAATAATTGCAATGGTATATTAAAATCATGTGAGATCTTGAAAAAAGGTGTCATCGAAGCGACGGACATCGGAAATATCGTGGGGGGGGAGTAATAGGCGCTGTAAATCAGTATTTTTATAATTGGCAACTTGACAGTTATTGTCACAATCATCTTTCAATTACTAGTAGATAAAACAAGTAAATAACACAGTCATGAGGACAAAAACAACTCCATTCTAACAAACATAAATAACTTCCAAATTTTAATAATGATTTTTAGTTAGGTACAGCAAATACCTATCTATATCCTTGTGATAAGACATTATGATTGTAAAAGAATTCACGCGAAGACAGTTGCCAAATTAATTGTATACGATTTATAAGAGCTTTCATACAGATGAAAACAACAAGATCATCTCTATAAATGTATCTAGTTAATACGTAAAGTAAAATAATCCTAAAATAGAATACTGAAATTAAGATGCTGAATGTACTGAATTACTTTATCTGAGAAGTTAAAATTTCTTGTTAACAGGTCCTGTACGGGAGTGACAAGTTTAGACGACTTATCAGTTTCTACTGATCAGAAAAGAGAAACAGAACGTTTAAAGGCTGACATTATGAACACCCAAGAACGTTTAGAAAATACTGATAAGAAAACGAACCTGAAAAGCATAGAGGAACAAAGAAATGAAGTCATTTCGCAAATAGAGGGACTTGCGCGCGGTTTGGTAGAACATATCCAGAAGTTGGAGTGTGAAGCTTTGGAAGGTCTAGATGCGGAATATTCTAAAGTCAAAGGAGAACTGGAGACAGATATTTCTAATTTAAGTAAAGCTAAACAAGAAATTGAGCAGGTGAGAAGTCAACTAAAAGACTTGGACAGTCTGAATAAAATACAACAGTTTGTCCAAACAAAACTGACACAACAAACATTAAACGATGCAGAAACAGTATTTGGACAAACTGAATCTAAGGGCATTCAATCATTGTATTTGAAGGAAAATACAGAATTAAAGTCCTCTGTCAGTTCATCAACGTCTTTAGGGTCTGTACAAAAGATAGCAGAAAACAAAAGCCAGCCGACATCAACGACGTATAAAGTCAGTTCATGGAAGGAGGAAAATATCCGCATGAAAAACGACAAACTCCAGCCCTACATTTGTGATGCATGTCAGCTTCAAGACGGTACAATCATACTGGCTGATAACAATAATATGAAGATAAAGAGGCTTGATGTGAATTATAACATTAAAGATTGTTTGGATTTAGAATCAAATCCCAGAGGTATCTGTTGTACTGGTAATACTGAGGTCGCTGTGATATTGCACAACAACAAAGTTTGGTTTATATCAGTAGGAAGCTCATTATCTAAGGTGAGAGATATATCTGTTACTGATGGAGGTTACTATGGAATGACATATTGTGCTGGAGAGTTATGGGTATCTAATGGAAAAGGTGTTTATGTATACAGTACGACTGGTACATTATTAAATTCTATCATTAATGATGTCAATGGACAACGCATATTTACATCTATAAAACATATGACCGTCAGCGGAGAAAATGTTTTTGTAGCAGACTCAAGTAATGGTGTTGTCTGTTTGACAAGAGATGGAACGGTGAAAAGGGAACGGAAAGATAAAATGCTTGCTGACACACGTGGTGTATGTGCATCCAATGACGGGACCGTGTTTATTTCTGGGTGTGGCTCAAACAACATCATGATGTTTGATAGCAAAGGGAAATGCCTCGGAGAATTAGTTTCTCAAGATTTCGGTCTAGTAAATCCACTATCATTATTGTTCGATGAGAAGAGAAACTGTTTAGTTGTTGCATGCTATTCCGGCAAAATGATAGTTTATTATATCTGACAATTTAAAAATAGTGTTTTTTTTGTTGTTATATTGTACATAGATTTAAAATGCTACATATGGAGAAAAAGATTTACAGTTATATGATCAAACATATCATATTCAACAGTCAGCCTTTATATACATTTACATTCCTTGTTAATGTATGATGATTACTCAATACAATACTTAATGTCTTAAATTACTGATATTCAATCAATACCATATGTAGAGCTTTGCTATGCAGTCTAGCTGTTAGTTTTGTTGTCCAATTTATGTCATTTATTTATTGGTTATAAAGACATGGGCTGTGTGTTTCTGTACATACATGTATGCTATAAAAATCATTTTAATTGGTCAGTGTGTCAACATATCATTTGCCAAATAAATCTATTTATCCCTGTTTGTCAATATTTAAGATAAAATAGTCACTGCTTTCCAGGTTTTTTTGTTCAAGAGGAAAATAATAATTATCAATTATTTTGTTCTCAGAAATCTTGTAGTTGTGTTCCGCTATGACACTCAATGCAAAATTATCAATACATCAATAAGGCATCAAGTTTGTTCGTATTGGGGCGAAACTCATTTATAAATAATGCCCTTCTCATAAACGCTCTTATACTTTAACTTCTCTCTTTGTGTTAAAATTTTATTAATAGGACATTATACTGTTTGTATTTAATATTGTTGTTCACAACAGCACTAAGTAAAATTCATTTTTGTAAACAAAAAATAAATTTGGTTTACCATATTGTGCAATAAAAAGTTATTGTGCTAAAAGCCCATTCGCATAACATAATAGCCGAGATGCTGCAATTGCTAAAAATCCTACAAATTTGTAAATTCATGCTATGTTAGTAAATAATATGGTTCCATATATGGAAGTGTCGATGTAACATTAAATTTTGAACCCGTTTAAAATTGTCCGGATTGGTCATATTTGAACGGATTTTGATCAATTTTCATCTATCTCCATTATTGAATGACTCATTCACGTGTGAAAAAATGACTGATCCATTTTTGATATGCCATAAGTGATCAAAATAACGATGCCAAACATGTATATACAGTGTCATACACATAAAACGGTAATATATCTGTATTATTTTCAGAGTTGTAAGTGATAAATATTGATACATCTTAATTAAATGACCCAGGAGCTAATAACAATTTGCCAATTCATCCTGATTACTGATAGCTATACGGTACTTATGTAGTGAACTTTAATATTACATAGCAGAATACTGTATATTAATGGGGTTTTTTCGCTGTCAAAGGGAGTCGCCTGCTATTATTAAAGGGACAGGCTTCTACTGTTTATTAATGTTTATTAATGTTTTAAAGATGTCACACTAGTTAAAACCAATCTACCCCTCTTAAAATGAACACTATTTAACAGACGTGTTATATTTCAATACCTTTTCTGTGCTGATCAGGGGAAGTAACGAGAAGTGTAGTGAATCAACAACGGTTACTTCCCATGATCAGTACCAAAAGGTGAGTAAAAAGGTGCGCGGAGATTGGTGTAGCAGACTGGTATCAGATAAGAAACTGTTGACTTTAGGGTTGACTAAAAATGTTGAATAGGATAAGAAACATGTGAACAAGAACAACTCTTATTGCCTATAGCATACCTTTATTGGGTCCATATTGCGGGAATGTAAAATTATCGGTTTTTATTTGTTTGGGTCGTCAGACCAAACAAATAATGGTAGCGAAATTTCAGAGTCTAATGCTGTTAATTGCAAATGCCGAAAGTAGTCCACTTTTTTGAAGCGGTTACTTCCCTAACGCCAAAAAATTCAGGGTATATCACTGCGTAAAGATGGTCAAAGACAGGCACATTAATTTTCAAGCAAAATAATTCCCGAATGGTCGGAGATTTCTAATATTGTTTTATTGCATTTTCTGATCGAAAATAAGTAAATACAAAGCGGACATTCAATCTCTGACACAGAAGTTTACAACAAACCTAACAACAAGTAGTTCTCAAAACAGCTTAAAACTAGCGATTTAAAAGAAAGAATTTTTTTTTATTTTGTTACAAGTATCCAACAAATTACAACGCATTCAAAGTTTAAAAATAGCGTTGGCTTATAGAATTGTCAATAAATGCACAATCACAAATTACGCGGATGAATATGATTTTATCAATGAAAATACTATTTTTAGCGATGTCGATTACCGAATACTACGCTAACCGAGTAGTGGAATATATAGATTCTACATGTCGGACTGTTTGGGCGAGAAGATTTTCGCTAAATTATTTACTTCAATTTTAAACAACAGGTTTATCCAGAACAAAATACCTCGAAATTAATAAGGATTACAAACATGAAATGCAATGGAAGTTCTAAATTTAGAATTACTTGATGTTATTCAGCCATTGTTTGTATAACTTCTGCGTGGTGGAGGGGTAACGCGCTCGCTTAGTGAGTGACAGGTCTTGAGTTCGAATCCCAGTCGAGGAAACTTTTTTTTTTAAATTCTTTTTTAAGTGTCTTTGTTAAGGAAGTAGCCATTATATGCAAGGATAAAGTGTGACTGTCGTAAAAAAATGAACATAAATGATTTTTTGATGCAACTCTAGTTATGCAGAATTCCGTATGTATCAAACTCTGGTGCCTTGCAAAATGAATTATAATACATAAAAAATAAACTTATACAGGAAAATACATACAGATAAACTGTACGATTTAGATTGCAATGATCAGAAAATACCACAGAACTTGTAGCCCTTTGATTCTTTATAAATATACATGCTTATAGTAAGCTCCAGGATTATTTACATCTGTGTTAAACAACAGTTAAAGTCATTACAAGCCCTAATTTAGAATAATATGGTTTTCTTCAGGCCGTTTAAATATAAATTCACCATGGCTGTAGGGTTTTCGCGCTCGCTTAGGAAGTGAGAGGTCTGGAGTTCAAATCCCAGTAAAGGCAACTCATTTTTTTCAAATTGTTTAAGTCAAATAAACATTGGATTGAATATCAGTGTTGCAATTAGTCTTATAGCCAATTTACAACAGTTAAAACACTGGAAAGCATTGGTGGCACTATACATATAATCTCAAAACCTGTACCTTTCTTACATTCTGAGACCAACACAAATTCAGCGCCTTCTGTGCTTTGATATAAGCTCGGGAATATATTAATTTATTAATGGGTAACAGTAGCTCATTTTTGTGTCGCCTCTACGGAGTAGTGGCGACATATAGGGATCACTTCTCCGTCGTCAGTCTGTCCGTCTGTCTGTCCGTCCGTCACAAAACTTGTCCGGACTACTCCTCATAAACTACTCGTGCAATTTCATCCAAACTTTACAGGAATGATCAGTACCAAGTCTAGTTGTGCATATTGTCAGCATTTTCCTGTTCAATGATTTTTGTAAGAGTTACGGCCCTTAAATGATTTTATTTTTAAAGTTTGTCTGGACTACTTCTCTTATACCACTAATGCAATTTAAATGAAACTTTACAGGATTGATCTGTAGCTCAAGTCCTTGTGCACATTACACAAGTTTTCCGGTTGAATGATTTTTGGCCGAGTTATGGCCCTTTGATAAAAAGTTAGTTTTTTTCTGCGTGTTGCCAGATACACAAAATCTTGTCCGGACTACTCCTCATAAACTACTCGTGCAATTTCATCCAAACTTTACAGGAATGATCAGTACCAAGTCTAGTTGTGCATTGTCTGCATTCTCGGTTCAATGATTTTTTTCAGAGTTATGGCCCTTTAATAATTTTTAAAGTTTGTCCGGACTACTTTACCCCTCTTATACCACTTATGCAATTTCAATGAAACTTTACAGGATTGATCTGTAGCTCAAGTCCTTGCGCATGTTGCACGGTTTTTTTGGTTGAATGATTTTGGCCGAGTAATGGCCCTTTGATAAAAGGGTGTTTTTTTCTGTGTGTTGCCAGATACACAAAAGCTTGTCCGGACTACTTGTCATAAACTACTGGTGCAATTATATCCAAACTTTACAGGAATGATCAGTACCAAGTATAGTTGTGCACTGTCCGTCTGTCTGTCCGTCTGTCACAAAACTTGTCCCAACATGAAATTGGCCATCACGAGGCGACACATGTGATCACTGATCGCTCTTGTTTGGAAAATGATTTATTCATCCGTCATTCATGAATGTTATTTCTTGACAGCTATATTTTTGTTTGTGAAATAACTGATAGAAGTTCAGGTAATTGAGTCCTTTACTGGTCTTAAAATATTGGTTTATAATAAAAGATTAACATATGTTCTAATAGCTTTCTGTGGCATTCGGGCGAGCGAGATATTTAATTAGTTTTAAACTAAGTTATGAAATGTGTAAGAAGCTAAAAGTCAAAATCATTTGTTTATTTTGTAATTTTACCCCTCCAAAAAAATCTTCATTATTTGGTACATACTCGTATTGTTACTGTTTATTATTTCAGTGCTTACATGTTAACATGATTATGTATTAAATTACAATAAGCATATAAACGACTTGACTTATTGATAAATTCGATATTTCTGCATTTCAATAATTTAGCAAACTGTTCATTACATATAGTCCTAGAAATCCATGCATAAAATAGTGCGAAGTGTGCACCTCTTGTGAAAAACATGAAACTTGGCACAGTTGTTGGCTTATAAAAAACTTCATTTAAGCCTGGGATCCAGGTTGTGCGAATCCAATATGACCACCAAAATCTGAGATGGCCGCCATATTTGTTTCAGAATATTAAAGCCGTCTTCATAACAGGCACATGATTTAATATCAGCAGTTCATTATATTATACATTTGTAACAAATACTTGAGAAAAAATAATACTAAGATAAAAAGTATTTCAAAAGAAACCAACAGATTACTATCATTATAAATCAATTGTATTAATACGTATTCGTCTACATTTCGGCTTCCGTAGATTCAATATATATATTCCCAAATTTAGACGAGGCCCTTATACTCAAACCTATACAAGACATAATATGTATAGTATTATACTTGATTGTCATGCAAACATTTCGATGACTTCCAGTGCATGATATTTTCTTCATGTAATGGTGTGCCGAATCTTGCGCGGTTATGTCACATCAAAATTATATTCGAGGTTCAAAGACCCCTGTTAAATGCCAATTAGGAATCGTAGGTGGAAGTCTCTATGAAAATGCTTGCACAAGTAGCAGTGGTTCTAAGGATACGAAGAATAAAATATTATTCAAAGACTTGTAATCCTCCTACATCAAGACTCAATCATTCATCTACACCCAATAGTTGTACACTTGCTTTTCTTCTGCTTTGAATTTGGAACAGTCCTTTCAAACTTCAAGTGATGTAAATATCAAGCCACCAACAATGCTTGAGAACCGGGTCATTTTACATGATTTACCTGGGTTTATACTGGCAGCAAAGTCAGTATCTATACTTCCATGCCTTTCATTCTGTTTAAATCGTTAAGTAATTAACCGTTATCATGAATACTAATGAGTTTAGAAATGTGAATCGAGATGAAAAAAAATGATTGATAAACTTAAGGTCGCTGTATCAGTAAATTAAATAGTTTTATAATTCTCGTTTCACACCATCTTTACAAACGGCTAAGTCTTTTCTAGTTTATTTTAAAGTTTTAAACATTTTCAGATATACTAGAAATTAACAATCTCAACATAAAGTTTTCTTTAATTTCAATATCTTGTAATGAACAAAAATTGCAAATTCTATCATCAACGAGCATATTTTTGTACTGTCCGTTTTTTATATTTCTTTGTGAGCATTGATTTTAAATTCAATGAAAGACGATTTAATTATATAATGTTATTGTCTGTTTCAATTCAAACCATACTATTCTTTAAAGTTAACATTTCAAGTTAAAAATACATGATTGTGTCATTTTCGAATTATATCTATAACTATAACATACAGAAGTTACAACAATGCTGAATAATAATTTTGTTTATCAGTTTATCACTTTATATATATTCATCTAAAGTTGTCATCAAATTATTACATGTATACGTTACATTAACGTATCACACTGTATGGTGACAAACATACATCTATAAGAAGGTTAGTGTTTGTCTAAGTCCGCCTGTCTAGACAAAATTTAATTTCATTACTGTTGTATTTACAAAAACTATAAAAATACTTCACATTATCTTACAATAACTGGCAATAAAAAACTTATTTTAGCACTTGACGTTATGATTAAAAATAAAAAAGGATCACTACTAGATTCCTATATAGGTACTGATGATAATTCCGTAGGATGTAAGTTGATCGAAAATATATATCAATCGGGTTATCTTGAAATATCTAAATTGTCGACTTGAATGAGGTACAGGCATTGAGTCTAATGTGGCCATTTGTCTTGGTAGGAATAATAGACAGTCACTTTCGGAAAGGTTGGTAATTACTGTTTAGTCATCCGGGAAAGATGGTATTGTGGTGGTCCGACCACCGAAATAAGACCACAAAATAAGCGAAAATCGTCGTTAAATCGAAACAGCAACAAAACATACACACAGCAAACCGGAATGTTTGCAAAAACATTTTTTTCTGAAAACGTTTTGTCTAAATCACAGTGAATAAATAAACTCACTACGAACTAGACTCGTTTATCAATTTACTAAAATAGATTACACATTGTATGATAATGTTTGATAGGATATGTTATTTAGGTTGCTGATTTGCTATCATTTGTACCTTACCGTGACAATGTATAAGAGATATAGAATTTTTCACGCGCGGAAGCTATCAGGGCAGACATGGTGCATTGTAATTGTCCACATTGATTTCAAAAAGAATGTATTATATAAAGAAGAATTTGTACTTTGAAAAGTTTCCCACTATGCATACAACACAGGGACACAGTTCGGCAAAAATTATCTCAAGGATACTTGATGACGAGAGTTCTGTTAAAACCATTTCGAATCCCTTGTAAAGTGAAAGGTCAAAACTCGCAAACCGAATAATCTAGTATTAATAACAAACATGAAAAGACTTTAACAGTGGTATCCATATATATTTATTAACAAAACGAGTTAAACGAATCTGGAAATGAATAATCAAAAATAAAAGCAAAATTGCAACATGGATGATGCTTGTGAAAAATTTAAATTATCAATTAAAGATTGCCTCGCGATTTCCCAATGTCGTCAAGTGTTTAGCATAGAGGGCAGTGGTTCTTTTATATTCAATATTTTTTTGTAAGTTTAATGGGGGAAATTCTTATTGATGAAATATCTTTAAATGTTTAATCTCACAATATTTACTCGTGCGAAAGCTAGCTTTCTGGGTTCTTTGGAATGGAGATGTCATACATAAAATATAACACAATCTCGTAGTACGATTAGCTGGACTCATCTTGCAATGACACAATTTTGAAAAGTGTGGTTTTCTAAAGCTTCGTCGAACATTTTATTGCTGATGTTATGTAACATCTACCATCTACACAGCTACGCCAGTGTATAATTTAATATCATCGAAATGAAAACTAGAGGCTTATTGATAGAAGCGAACACTGGTTACACGTATCGTATCGAAGTGTTGTTCAGCTTTTGAAATAATTAAAGAGAAATTAATTTGATTAGGGTCATAGATGAAGAAATACGGCGTATAACTTATATTATTTCGAGGATACATTTTATCAAGGTTAGGACTTCTTAGGATTATTATGTATCTTTGTTTTATAAGCTGCTCACCCTTTATAAAATGTTTTATAAAATATCATGAGGTTGAGTACCATACTGAATTCTATTCGACGAGTTTCATTAGACGGGACGCTATTCGAGTCTTGTATATACGAATCCAATATAACCAGTATTATTCTCAACCATGTCAAATGACCTCTTTATTTCATTCCACCATTATTTTATATTTTGAAAGAACTTTGAACATTACTTCAATATAATAAAAATAGAGTGTTATAAAGTATTCTTTAAGAACGCATAAAAAAGACAGTAAATGGTTGCAGACTCGGTTTGGTTGAATCTATTCATGAAAGGAAATGGAAAAATCATGTAACCATCACGCTTAAACAGAGACGCATGCACAATATTTCTTCGCTTTAAATGTTTCATTCATTTTTCTGTAAAATGTCTTCAAAATTAATATTCTAGGCAGTCACAGGGAACAAAACGTTTCTCCTTAGAAAGAATTAAATGGTGGTTACGTGGGTCAGGTAAGAGCGTTAAGTTTTCACAATAGTTGTCACAGTGATCTCCTGAAAACGTTAAATAACATATCAAATGAATGCCTTAGACGTGTTTCAATCATACAATATCCACAATATCTGTTATTTCAAAACTTTCAAGGGTTCGTTCAAGTCATATGACTTGCTTAAGGATTACTGATTCTTTCGGCGTTTAAATTTTCTTCCAACATATATAGAGATATTTTTACCCTTCAAACCCAAAAAATCATAGAATGTATACAGAAATTCATGAAGGAAAGTCATTTTTGTGTGTGTGTGATTTTGAGTGCATAAATACCATTTTTAACCATTTTTAAATTAATTCATTAATTTCCTGACTTCCCCTTTAACATAGTAAATATGGAATTTTTAAAACATCAAATCATTTATTCATACAGAGGTTATCATAAAACCTCCAAACGTGAACGCTTTAGATGCTAATACATGAAAAAAAGCGGGTTTGCCCAAGTTCGAAGAAAATGAATGTGCCCTTTAAACGGAGAAAACAATTTTGGCGGGAACTTAAAAATTAAATGGAATTTTATAAGGATCAGAGATTTATTATAAGCATGCATACACAGATTAAATCCTCAAAAACAGCAGGGCCACACATCCTAAGGGTTTACGATTTAAAAGTATTCAAATGGAGAAATTCTAGAACAACTCAGCTAGATTAAAAGCCAAAAAGGGAACTAAAAATAACACAAGCACTTGCATAATTCATGCTGAAGTTCAGAAATAAAACATACTTCATTACGGGGGCGACATTTTACCGGATCTCCACACGACAAAAACAACGCTGATTCTGGCGTTTAAAAATAGACGGTAGTAAGGGGAAAATTTTTTTTTTTTCCCCCTCAAGAACGCATAAATAAAAATTAAAAAACGACAAGATTTGAAAATTTGCAGACTTTATATGGATTTTGGATCCTAAAAATGATAATTTCAAATCATTTTGAGTATGATATGCATTTAATAAGAGCTACCCGCTGAAACTCCATGAAGCAAAATTTTTTGAATTCAATTTTCATTTTTGACCTTGACAGTCGTGGTAATTCAAAATATCAAGCCACATTTGAAATAAATCGTTATGAATGTTTTGTCCCTCCATTTGTCCAATAATAAAACAAAATCCATGATATAACAATTTAAAGTAGATTTCATATTTTGATCGGTCCCAAGGGGTTAATTAAAGCCTGCAAGCCTTCAAGATGAGCAAACATTTTTCAAAGGCAATCAAAACTTGGGTAAATTTTAGAAAGTAAAATAATTCCCAAATTAAAAGCCCAAAAATAATTTACAAATTATGTTTAGCTAATGAATGATTTTTGCCAGTATAAATAAACTTATATTTTCTACTGCACTAGAAGGTAAAGGGTTACTAACCAAATAAATGTCTTTTTTGCCTCTTCTGGGAAATAGTTCCCGGGATATTGAAGAGCCATTAAATGAATACAGATTTAATTTTATTTGCTTACATCACAACGTTTAACAATGAAACAAATCTTCATTTTTCATGTTTTTATAATTTTTATGGTGATTTTATTCATCAAAAATTTTTTGTCGTGACTGGGTTTTAAGGTTTTGACCTGGATAACTCCTTGTCCACTTGGTTGAATTTATTTAAAATTGTTGATAATAAAATTTAATAAAGATTAGTAATTATTACTATAAAATTATCTTGGTGTATCTGATATATCTTGAATAACTCATGATTTAAATCCATTATAAATTTCCTTTTTGGGATAACAATTTAGCAAACTTTCAAGCCATTCTGCAAGCCAAATTGGTGAAGAAATACCTGCACGGTTTGAAAATTCAAAATGCGTAGGAAAAATAATCACGAAGGCTGAAGCTTGGAATGATAAATTACAAAGCAAATTTGAAGGCAAAAAAACTGTGCATTTTTATACTATAATGCCACGAAAAATTAATAATCTATTTCCATTCTGACACGTCGAGAAAAAATATAGTTGGATATATGTTTGGTGGTTAAATTTTCCTTTCGCCTGAGAGTATTCCAATAAGACTTTATTTACAGGCTGTTCCAGTCTGTTGAAAAAAAAATGTTGTTAGGTCTATCGTTTGCAGAAACATTTTGAGAAAAATGATTTTTTAAAACGTTTATAAATTTTTTGTTTGTTTACTTTATTTCACTTTATATCTTTCGAGCAAATACACTGTTTTTATAATAAATAAATATTTGAAATTTAACTGGTTTGCAGCATTTCAATAGCGTTCTTGTTTTGAAAACCCTGCACGCGTTTTTTGGCGCTACATTGTTACGTCAAGTAAATAACACTTTCAACGTGTGTACAGCTTTAATGACTGAATTAAAAATATTGCTGTTCGGGTTTATTTTCTTAGTGAGACCATTTCTTATCATTCTAGATGGTTTTCAGAACAAAATTCACCATAGAGTTGTTTTATACAGTTTGTATAATCAGATTTTTTACACAAAATGGGCTCGTCAATATCCGGTCTTATAATACAGATGGAGGCATAAAAAACGGCGAGTCATTGTTGTGAAAAATATCACGCTTTCCACCTTCATTGGGTTTATATAAAAGAATCTCCATATGTTAAACACACAAATGCTACTATATTATTAAACCCGAGTTTTATATAAATGAAACCCTTTGTTTTTTTCTCATAAAAAAGTAAATAATCTAATAGTGTGCCAACGAACAAAACTTAATAAATTGTTTTTAATAGCCCTTTACTGAATAATTAAAATTAACACTTTTAACAACTGCACCGGTTTAATGTTAAAAATTTAAAGATGGTTAATCAAAATGTTTATATATATTTTACAACAAGACTAAACTCACACCGGTTTTGGCTTGGGAGTTTGAACGGTCGTTCAACTATAAACTGCATTACATTGTCTGTACCCCTTGTTTTGAGGATGATATTCGAGAACAAGCTGTGAAATATTGTCATGAATGCCAGGAGTTTTTGTGTACAGGATGCACACGACACCATGGGAGACTGAGAATGACTCGATCCCATAAGCTCGTAGACAAGAACGAGGCAAAACAAGGGTTACATGTGACCGTGACAACAAAATGTTTATATCACCCAGATCGTGACATAGAGATGTACTGTGAGGAACATGACATGGTTTATTGTTTAAAGTGTATTGCTACAGACCATAGGTTTGTAATTATCTCATTGTTAAGTATCTTTACAATAATAGTTATTGGCAATTACTACAACGATTTATAATAAGTGTGAAAATCAATATACTTTTTGTGATAATTGCAATGATATATTTAAATCTTGTGAGATTTGGGATAAGGGTGACATCGAATAGACAGACATTGAAAACAGTAAATTTCGGGGGAAAAGATATATGTGTTTTCTTTAGTGTTTAAATCATTATTTTGTTTATAATTGACAACTTCAAAGCTAGATTCACAATCATCTTTACTTTTTTATATATGTTAATTAAATATGTCATGTGTTATCTGAAATGTTTATGCGATAACATCTTTCAAATTGATTTTATGATGTGCATGATAATTGGACAACACTTACTAGGAGATAAAAATAGCATGATCATGATCACATTAAACATTACATTTTGACAAATATAAAACACCTAAATTTAAATCATAAATTTTAAGGTAGGTGAAGCAGATACCTCTATATATTTCAGTGATAAGACATTGTAAGTGTAAAAAATAATTCACATGAAGACAAAAGCCAAATTAATTGTATAAGAATTATCAGAGCTATCAGACAGAAAACAAAAAGACCATCTTGAAATGAATTACTAAAAAGTAAATTTTTCTTGTTACCAGGTCCTGTAAGGGAGTGTCAGGTTTAGACGACTTATCAGTTTCTACTGATCAGAAAAGAGAAACAGAACGTTTAAAGGCTGACATTATGAACATCCAAGACCGTTTAGAAAATACTGATAAGAAAACAAAAACAAACATGAAATGCATAGAGGAACAAATAGAGGGAATTGCGAGCGGCATGGTAGAACATATCCAGAAGTTGGAGCGTGAAGCTTTGGAAATTCTCGATGCGGAATATTGTTTGGTCAAAGGAGACCTAGAGAAAAATACGTCTGAGATAAGTAAAGCTAATGAAGAGGTTGAGCAGGTAAGAAGTCAATTACAAGACTTGGACAGTCTGGAGACAAAACAGCAGTTTGTTCAGACAAAACTGGTACAACAAACATTAAACGATGCAGTAAAAGTATTTGAACAAATTGAACCTAAGGGAATTCAATCATTGCATTTCAAGGAAAATTCAAAATTAAAGTCCTTAGTCAGTTCATCAACATGTTTAGGGTCTGTACAAAAGCTACCAGAAAGCAAAAGTATGCCGACATCAAGGACGTATAAAGTACGTTCACAGAAGGAGGAAAATATCCGCATGAAAAACGACAAGATGGATCCCTACATTTGTGATTTATGTCAGCTTCAAGACGGTACAATAGTATTGACCGATAACAATAATATGAGGATAAAGAGGCTTGGTGTAAATTATAACATTAAAGATTGTGTTCATCTAGATTCATATCCTACAGGTATCTGTTGTACTGGTAACACTGAGGTCGCTGTGAAACTTACCAAAAACAAAGTTTATTTTATATCAGTAGCAAGCTCATTATCTAAGGTGAGAGATATATCTGTTACAGGTGGACGTTGCTTGGGAATGAAATATTGTGCTGGAGAGTTATGGGTATCTGATGTAAATGGTGTAAATGTATACAGTATGGCTGGTACATTATTAAAATCTGTCATTTCTGATGTCAAAAACAAACCTATGTTTGACTCAACTCCACATCAAATGGCTGCCAGTGAAGGGAATGTTTTTGTAACAGACAACAGTGATGGTGCTGTCTGTTTGACAAGAGATGGTACATTGAAAAGTGAACTGAGAGATAAAAGGCTTGCTGAAGCACGTGGTGTATGTGTATCCAATGATGGGACTGTGTTTATTTCTGGGTGCAGCTCACACAACATCATGATGTTTGATAGCGATGGAAAATGCCTTGGAGAATTAGTTGCTAAAGATTTCGGTCTAGTAAATCCACTATCATTATTGTTCGATGAGAAGAGAAACTGTTTTGTTGTTGCATGCTATCCTGACAAAATCATAATTTATTACATCTGACAATTTAAAAAAAATACTTCCGCTGTTCATGTATAATGATAAATCAATACTTAAGGTGTTTTATAACTGATACTAAATCAATACTATATGTAGAGCTTTGGTATGCTGTCCAGCTGTTGGTGTTTTTGTTCAGTTTATGTTGATTATGTATAGGTTATAAAGGCATAGATTGTGTGTTTCTGTACATACATATATGCAATGAAAATCATGCTAGTTGGTCAATGTGTCCACATGTTATTTGCCAAATAAATCTATTTATTTCTGTTTGTCAATATTTAGATTTATTTGCTGATTGAACAGTTAACCCTATATAAAAGTATCTATAATATGGTAAAAATTGTTACTGTATGTTATTGTTATTAAATTCAAACGTGGACTGTCGGCTATGAACGAAGCCATCCGATTATGTTGGTTCCCAAACTTAAAAGCGCTGCGCATTTTGCACACGGCAAAGCTGGGGCCACGTTTGAATTTTATCGAAAGATTTTGTCAATGGAGGAAAACGGCGATAATCTTGATGTTTATTTCGGCTGTTGCATTGTTTATATTACCGTTGAAGTTTAAAATTGACCATCATCGTGAAGAAATATATCTTCTGTGTCGATGGACCAAAGGATTATGTGAAAATATTGGAAATGGAATAAAATACATGGTGATTATGACGGCAGGGGTGCGGATTTTTTCCGGCGAACATTTTTATCTTGTGTAGATGTTGAAATATGATTTTTTTTTCAAAACGGCTTATATTAAGTTTTTTTGATATATATGATCAGTACATATACTGGGATTGACAAATATGCATTTTATTTGGATTGTAAAGGCGTTTTAAGCTCCACCCCCCCCCCCCAGTTTTTGTGACTGAGAGGCGCCTATATAACTTAGCTTAAATAACTTTCTTTTTGGCTGATGAAACACACATTTCAATGACTTCCTGCCTATAACTTTTAGTCATCTTAGAACATGCTGTAACGCGCGCGTTTACGTCACACATATTAAAGGCCAATAAGGACTAACATGTGTGTAAGTGAAAATACTTGCAAAAGTAGCAGTTGTTCTCAGGATATGAGAAATAAGATATCATTATTTTATCTATTTTTATTCCATGTACCATATACATGTTCAACAATTTTCCCAAGCTTTAATGCAGTCTTCCTCCTCGTTGTATAGGTTGGTTGCGTACGCGGAGAAACAACCGTACATACGCCTACATTGTCCGCCATTGTACGAGTAGTATAAACCCTCTGTGCGTCCGCCCATACATTCTATTTGCTGCGGTGTCGTCACCTCACATTCTGTAAAATTATTTTCAGTAAATACCTCAAGAAAATGCATCTCTTCTTCAAAGAATACCATAAGATAAACGTTCCAATTATGCTTATCATTACTCATCATCCTTCATTGTTTTTTGTTTTTGTTTTATTTGCTTACCACGTTAACTAGACAGTTGTAACAAGGCCCTATCATCCCCGAAACCCCGAAAAATAGCGTAACATTTTTTTAAATGTTGTGACTAGATGGGACCGTGTAAAAGTCATGTTAAATGTCAAAAAAATGTTCGGGTTTCAGGCGCAATAGAAAAGCAGAAAGACGGTAAAAACCCATTGGATTAGTCGCGCCTTCCTACTTCAATGCCTTTACAATTTTATAAAATTATGTACAATTTACCATGTTAAAAAGAGTTCTACTTAAACCATTTTAAAGTTATAGATGAATATTTAATGTTGAGCATTTCCAGCATAAAAAATATAAAAACACTGAAATTAGTTTTAGAAACGCAGTTATTACTTCACAAAAATGTATAGATAATGACATTGTTAGCGAAATAGCGTGTTTCAACAAGACTTTTAATTCGTTGACAAAAACAAATCCCTATTCGAGAATTTTAAAACGTTTATTATGTTTTAAATATGTTTCTACAATACAAACCTGTTTAAAATGTCATGCTAAGGGGTGCATTATATGTCTTTCATATGTGTTCCAATAGAAATTTCGATTTTGATAAATTATTTCTTATACAGTCAGTCAATGCTTATATTTGATAAATAAATGTAATTTTTCTAGATTTGTTTCCAATACTTTAACCGACAGATGTAAACAAGAAAGATATTTGCATTACAAACATATTTAGTTAAGTATCTAGTAACATCTTTGCTGTGTCTTTCGAGGTTGAACACTACATAATGTTTTCAACAGTTTTAGAAGAAACAAAATGCATTGCCTTAACATGATCAATAGACTTGAAAACATGTACAAAATATTTCAAAGTTGAAAATAAATAATATATCAATTACCATCAGCACAAACAGAACACAGTAGAAGGGAGACTATGAAGGTAGTGATGAAAATCTTGACCATTTTGTAACAAATCAATACCTGTGTAATATAAAAAGAACGTGCACATTCAGAAATTGAGTTAATTCCGTGTAAATGGTGCAACATTCCAAATTGTTGAACAAAACGAACTTTTACTCATATACATTTCATTTTATTCTTTTTACAAAAGTAAATATTAATATAATTCATTTAATGATTAAATGTTTAATAGCGCGTATATCATACGAGATCAACTCGACACGCACCTTGCTGAAAGCACCATAGTGGGTTACATGCTATCATTGGTTTGTTCAGTTTGTACTAATAATAAATTTCCTTAGATAATTTTTTATTTTTCAGTTTACAAATAATCAAAATAGTTAGTGATATGTTGTTTTGCATAAGAGTACTGTTCAAGATAATTCGGTCATATTTCAACTAAGCATTCTGTAAAAATTCTAAAAAGGTTAATCTACATTTCGGAGGAGTTATCCTCTATCTTCAACTGATCTTTAATAATTATCTTAAATCTGTTTTGATTGAAACAAAAACACCATTACAATTATCATAAATTTGAAAGAGTCAACTTACTTTGGAGCACAGTCCTTATAAATGAATTGTTCAGAATCAAAGCTGCCTATTTATTATCTGTAACAGCATCCCTTAATTAAATAATGATTAAACATTAATGAACATCTGGTAATAAAGTAATGGCATAATGAACTAATTTGGTGATTTGTCTTTTTTCATGTTAACGTAGTATGATAATATTAATAACATATTACAAAAAAACAACATTAACACTTGCCTTAAAGCATATGAATTAATTTATCATGTATTTTCCAATGATAGGTGTAACACGTTTTGTTTTTCATTCTTCTAAATTTTTACCTTCTGGATTTATTTATCTGTTGACGTGTGTTATCTGTTGGCGATAACATCTGTTTCATTGATTGATATATCAGGCTATTTATTTGTTATTACTTTAAGTAGAATATCTTACTAGTAAAAAATAAACAATTTGACTATAACAAATTAAATTCATTATAATACAATGTTGATTCCAGACGTTTTATTAAAGTAAATATTGTTTTCCTATATTAAATGTAATATCACACCGTTTGTTTAGGCTTAATTTACCTTAAGCTCACGTGGATGTTTGCCCATTAGGAACTATATACATGTACTAGTTTATTCATTTCTGACGTCTCACTGACCATTGGTCGTTGATGACTGCTCACTTAAAATCATCTTTAGAGAACTAGTCTTTGACATGCAATAAAACAGAACTACTCACTAATAATATTTTAATTGAAACATACACACCGAAAATCCTTTACCGAGAACTACTCACTTTAATATGTTCACATATGATTTGTATATAACTACTCACTCAGCTATGTAAACTAAGTATTACCTTCTCCTTTACCTGCAGTGACATTTGGAGCGTTTCGAAACTTTTCTCATCGGGTCTAAACGGCATGGACTTTGTATAATTACATATAAACTTGAATTAATTTAATTATTATTTACGTTGCAGCTAAGAGGTCCCCGTAATATACAACGTGTATTGCCCGGCTAATTCGCAAGTGGAGTATTCTTTAATTAAAGTAGAATTGCTTCTGTAGAACGCACCAAAACAAATTAGGATATTATTGGGAATAAATCTTAGCCACCAGGAGCAGAAGAAGGAGGAACTTACTATATTTTAAGTGCCGGCGATGATGCGTTTTAATTGACATTTGAGAGATACCGGTATTGGGATGCAATATACAGACTGGGAAGATATTCAGCTTCCAAACACATACAGCCAATTTAGATACGCAAACCGAATGAAATAGATCATTGTATATACATACATATTAATATATTTTCTACTTTTGTTCACTATTTCAACGTTCATCAAAGACAGATACCTTGGCGGAGGGGGGATATCAACCGTGAGCAATGAGGAGAACAAAAGAACACAAATAGTTGATAATTGCAGATTCGGTTTTATTGGGTCTGTTCATGAGAACAACATGTGTCATTCCTTTACATTCCTCTTTCACCGGTATTCCATCCTTTACCTCAAACTCATTTGGATCAATGATACTGAAATGACCGGAAAAAATGCGTCGCAAAAAAAAGCTATAAATAAAACAGTGGAACAATGAAAAGGTCGGGATTAAATTCATCTTAATGGAGAAAAAATAAACGGTACATTGAATCACATAAAGGCAAGGGCCCGATAATATTGAAAAACTGGAAATGTGTCCATAGGGCACGAGTGCCCCCAACACGCCACTGTTCTGTCAATCTTATGTCTCTAGATCAAATATTTTTGGACTACATGTGCCACAAGTTGAAAACTAAAAATCTTTCACTAAGTAAAGTGCAAGAACTTTACAAATACTGAATAAATCAACAAGCAAACCCCATGGTGCATAAGTACACATTTGTAAACTTTCAGGCCTACAAGTCAAATACTTTTTGAGCTATGCATGAACAAGTTAAAAATTTCAAATTTATACTACTATAAGTCAAGGGCAATAACAAAACGGAAAACTCCAAATGCAAAGTACCAGGTGCATAGCTTCACAGTGATGTTGATCATTATTCCTGTAAAGTTGGTTGATTCTAACTCAAGCACTCAAGGAACAAATAACACAACATAATGAAACGATTTTTACTAAGTCAAGGGCAATAACTCTAAAATACTAACTAAATACACACAGAAATACCCAGGTGCACAGCAACACATGCTGAGCAACATTCCTGTTTCATGACTCTATGTTAAATATTTTTTTGAGTTATATGCGACACAAGTTGAAAATCGCAAATTTTTACTAAGTCAAGGGCAATAACTCTAAAATCCTGAAGAAATCCACACGAAAATAAGCAGTTGCACAACTGCACATGCTGATCAACATTCCTGTAAATTATAAGTTCCATGACTCTAGGTGAAATACTTT